TAATATTGTTCTTTATGTGTTTTATGCAGGAATTACTGAAGCAACAAGATCATAATGTGATTGTACTCGTCGAATTTGCTCTCGCGCTTATGACGATCCTAGATCAGATCAATAGAGATTCTTTCCAGAGATTCAAATTGAGAATAGGTAAGAATGGAAAATCATTACATATAATAACAGATGAAATAAGATATGTCAAAACTTGTTAATTTGTCCCTTTAATTCTGTGAAATAACTAAACGATCAAATATTTTTTATCGCAGGCTTAAACCACGGTCCGGTGATAGCTGGCGTTGTAGGCGCTCAGAAGCCGCAGTATGACATTTGGGGAAATACGGTGAACGTGGCTTCCAGGATGGACAGTTGCGGTGAGATGGGCAAGCTTCAAGTCACCGAGGACACTGCCAAGATCCTCATCGATGCCGGATATGAGCTTGTCTGCCGAGGGCCGACATACGTGAAGGGCAAGGGAACCCTTACCACGTACTTCGTGAAGACACCTTTTGACGACAAGGGTGATAGCTATTAGCAGTGAATTTATCGAATTCATTAAAACGATTTAGATAATCAAACTTTATCTCGTAATCGGAAAAGACTTTTAATTCTCCACGACATTATCGATCCTTATACGAAAAATCGAAGCACGAAACGTTGCAGGAAACAAATTTTCGTTTAAGCGGATAAAGAAGATGCATTGTCGAAAAGGTGATTTCAGAATTTTAACGATCTTTATCAGTAATATAAGATACTCATGAATATTTATTTATTTAACTCATAAATAAGATCTTAACTTCGCGCGAACAAATGGAAGTTACATTTTTTAAATTTATCATAAAAATTGAAATATATTCACAATGTATTTACTATAATAATAATTCCATTCTTTGTTGTTTGTTATATATATTAAAGGAATAATCAAATATACATTAGAGGAATGAATAATCGACACGTGTTTGATGAGAATGCGAATGTTCAGATTGCACTAAACTCTCGATGTTTCATTGCATTTAAAAAAACCGAGGAAACGGGATAAATATTCATATTCAATAGTTTCAAAAATAAAAACAATTTTATACCTATATCACAGACAAATGATATAATTTTACATATACGTTTTTTTACATGTTTTTTTTAAGATATCCCAAAATTGTTGCAAAAACATTTCAAACACCGACTCAATCCAGTTTTTGATTTATGACAAGTGATTGTATGTATCGTTACGTCGTACCTGTCCAAGTAGATTATCTGTATATACATATACGCATATCTTCTTCATAACATCTTGGCAGATGCGTTGATTGACACAATTGAGCCTCGATATAGCTCATGCTCATGGATTCTCATGGGAAAGTAAATATAATCATATTATATAATTGTTTCCCGTTGCTTTCCGTGTTCCATATTCAGCCGCCCATCGTGGGAGCTGTTGCTGTTGTGCTTTACGTAGATTACGAATTTAATTCGTTTATGGGATGAGAGATCAAATCCAAGATTCAATAACGAATCCGTCGTTCTCATAGAGCCGCGGCGTCCCATATATTAATCATAAGTGTGTAAATATAATATATATATATATATATATCCGTCAAAATTTATTTGTCGCAGCGAAAAGAATTAATCATTTAAGTATGTATATATGTATGTGTTTTTGAGAGCTGCGATAAATTTTGACGGATAATTTCCACCAAGAAAAGCAACATAAGCTCTTCACTCAATCACCCTGATATTCGATGTACGATATTGCTTTACACGGCCGATATATTTATTGTCTTCCATCACAATCTGAAAATATTATGAATATGATTATAAATAAAAGTACGATGGTAAAGTTCACTCCAATTATGTTGTTACCATTGTTACCATCTCTTAGAGATACATAAGTTCTGTTTTCTAGAATGTTATAAATGTTAATTTTTGTGATGTAATTTATAGACAATCAGAGTGTTTTTAATTAAATAATTATAAGCTTGTATCAAATAGAGGCTTCCGGAGAAATGTCGCGATCACGGGATCAGCGCGCTGAGGATGTACCGGAAAGTTAGCGGTATTCCGGTATAGGCCCCTTTGAGCGTTTAGTTCAAACTATGCCGAACAATGATTTTTATATAATTTTTGCATTGCAATTGCAATCGATTGAAGTAATAAGCTTCTAAATGAAGTTTCTCTGAAAATAAAGGAAGAAAAAGAGATGTAAAAAAAACGACAACAAGATTGAAACATGGTTTTCTAATATCAGGTGTATAGAAACAATGAGATTACGTAGGAGCAAAATAGATAAAAAAATTTTTACAGTAATATATATAAGTTCATGATTTACGCGTAGCATGAGCCTTGATTCTGCAAGCACCACTCAGGTTCCAAAGTGTCCGCGTAGATTTTTTGTTCAATGAATCTCTCGCGTTGCCTCAACATTCTCTGTTCGGCGTGATGCCACTTGGAATCCGGCTCGCTCCACAATCTCTCAGCCATTGCGGCCGATCTTGGCCACAATCTCGAGTCGGTATTCGCGCTGTCCGCCTGTTCGGTCCAAAGCGCTGCTTCTCCACCTGTAAAACAAATATATAATACATAGCAAATTACTTGATCAATCAAATTGTAATTGTTTAGCGTATCAATGTTATAAACTGGATGTTAACGAATGTATAAGTCGAACAAATGTATATACCTTACATTTTTCTATTAAATTTATTTTAATCAACAAATCTTAATAATCCTATATTATAATCTCTGTATCGCTATACCTCAAATATAAATGTATTTTTTTCTTTTTACGTACTGGAGAAAATACAAACAATTTTTATTTGTGCAACAATAACTTTAACGCGTTCTTTATTTAATATCTTAACGTTATCTAATGTATAACGCACAGTTCGGAAAGTACTAATAATATTTTAACAAAGAATTTACCTAGAATAAGGTGCTTCTTATTTCCGTATCCTTGTTTTTTGACCATGTCTAACGGGGAATTGTCGTAGATCTTTTGCCAACCCTTGTACGGCGCGCACCAATTGTTACCCTCACCTACCCACGCTCCAAATCTACGAAGAGAGAAAAATATAATTAATATTTAGTCTTAAAAAGATTTAGGATGTCTTCATATAATATATTTAGCGTGAGCGATAATTATTAAGTCTACAAACAGTCAAATATTTAATATACTCCTGGTGAAAATTTTTCTTATAGAATCTGAGGAATCTTAAAAAAAAATTTAATGTATTTTAAAAATTTTTATAAATATAAAATGTAATTTTTTAAATATTATAAGATATTATAAAATTTTCTCACCCACAGTCAAGGTACAAAGCGTCGTAATTTGAGAAAATAATCTTGAAGTTGTTTTGCAACAGTCTGCCGATAGTTAAGTCGAAACCAGTTGTCCAAATCTGAATAATATATTTCGCAGGATCCAGATGTTTAAGGTTCTCCTCGCTCGTTAATCCACTGGTCCACAGGACGGCCGGAATATCCTTACCACCGTTGGCAATCTTCAGCTTCTCCATAGCTCTCTCCTGGAAGTAGTCCCACAATAGGTAGAAGCTGCTTTCGCTAAGATCCCATCCCTTCTTTTGCATCCAATCGGTGATAATTTTTTGGGATCTCCAACAGTTGACGTTTACTTCGTCACCGCCCATGTGGAAGATGTCCGGCTGTTGGAAATCTTCTATCATATCCTTGTAAATTCCTTCGAGGACCTCGTACATCTTCTCGCTGGTGGGATTCAGCTGACCGCATGGCGGCTCCACGCAAAAGTCCTTCCAGGGTTCGGCTTTGAAGCAAACTGTCGCATTGTCGCCAACCTATTCGTTAACATATAATACCGTAGATTAAAGCAAAAAAAAATATAAGAAATAAAGAAAAATGGTAGATACAATTTATGGAAATAATACATAAATTATACTTGATATAATTCCACATCATATCTATAGATATACATTTTAATTTCCTAACTTAAAGTTTTTTAAATTTATTAATTATTACTCTCAGTTATTATTCTTCTTAGTTATTACGATAATTAACAACTTAATTTTTAATTAAAAAAATATGAAAGTTAAGGCTAATCCGTCGAAACATTTTTAATAAATAAAATTCTTCTAGGAAAAGATTTTTTTAAGTTTTCACAATGCGATTTGACTTATCTACTTTTGTATAATCTACGGTGAACAAAATTTTTCCTAATACCTCATAGTATCTTTAAGAATTTTTCATATTTAATTTTTTTTTATAAAGGTGTCTAAAAAAATATATTTTCTTCAAAATATTTTTTAGCGAATAATTGTTAATGCAAATACAGATGTTAACTTCCAAACAAGAGTACGAACAATTTAAGAAGAATTAATATACGATTAATCAAATAAATGCAATTAAAAAACAGTTGAACAAACCCCTGTTTTCTTTTACGCTTGTATTGACTATGTAAATTTTTAATATTTTTTATATTATCAAGAAAAACATCGTTTTTGGACAGTTATAAATGAATTGTGAATTTATATTGTACGTTTAATTTTAGTCATCGTAAAATTGTTCTAAATATATATATTAATACTCTCTTTATGGTAATGAGGACGTCTCTCACAATGACTTTCATTCGCCGTGTAAGCAAACCATACATCACGTCACACTTATCATCTATCATTTCAAGTCACATTTACTTGCTAATAACGCAGAAAGTTATTACTCACCCACTGCCAGCCTTCGCCAACGTGCGCAGGTGCATCAAACTCCGGCAGGACCCTGACACCGCGAACCAAGGCGTAATCGACGATCTCCCTGATCATCTCGGGGGTGTAAATTTTGGTCGGCGTGTAGCTGCCGTACTTGACGAAGTCGGGCCACGTCCTGCTGACGTAGGGGAAACTCTGGGAATCGGTGATGTGCCAGTGGAACGTGTTCAGCTTGGACATGGCTATACCGTCGATCGTCCGGAGAATCGTCTCCTTGTCGACATAGTTTCGGCTAGTGTCTAAAAGGATGCCACGATAGGGATACTTCGGACCATCCACGATGTACGCATCGGTGGCTACTTGAATCTTATTGCGCAAGTCGTCGAAGACGATCAGTTGGCTGAGGGTCTCCATTGCGTATCGAGCTCCGAAGTACGTCTTCGCCGTGATATAGGCTTCCACCTAAGAATTATTTTAAAAGTTTTAGTAAACTGCGGCTATATTAAAAATGAATCTCGACGTTTTAATTTTGGACGGTGATAGGATAAAAAGTCGGAAATCGAACAAAGAAAGAGAATTAAAAAGAATAAGGAAAGATCTCAGATAGGTAATAAATTATACGGGAGTAAATTATATAAAAGATATGGAAATGTACGCTCAGGAAAGGAGTACAAAGAGACAAATTGAGAGGTAGGAATAAAAGTATCGGGATTTGAAAAAATAGAGGAAAAGAATTAGGATAATAAATTGGCAAAAATATATTTTGAAAAATAAGAAGAAAATTAAGGGAGAACAAAACCGCGAGTCGGATTAAAGCTAGAATAAGTTTAGATTAAGTTAATTGCAAGAATGTACGCAATTGTAACATTAAGGGAAACAATAAATATACATACAAATATATAATATGATATAAAATTAAATTTGAATATATAATCGTTTAGATTATATATTCGCGCCGCGAAAAGTTTTAATGATCACAATTTATATCTAACTAACGCGTCATTAACGAATTAGGAAGACCGTGTGATCATTAATGAAGGTCAGCATGAAACTCTAACAATGAAACATGATGAAACATGATATCTATGTACAATATACAGTATGTACAATATACATGTACATGCTGTGGATATATGTACTTCTCCTAAAAGTATGAACAATAAAATAATCGCTTTTTACATCCAAGCATCTGTAATATATATCTGTCCCAGCGATTACAAAATGACATACTATAATTAAAATAATGAAATTATTAACTCGAATTAGCTTAGACGGCAAACATCATATAATAGCAGTGTCTATGTGTCTTATGATCTTTAATATGTCTCAAGACAAAAGAGATTTTATTTTTTGGATATTCAAATTATCCCTAAAATTTTGACGCAAATATTTTTAGCTCTCATTTATCTTAAGCCTTTTATTATTCTCGTTAAAAAAACGCATAACAGTTCTATTCTTGATGTTCATACATAAATATGATATTTACTATTTTGAATCAATTAAGTAGTTGAGACTCACGGAAACCAGTCGTTAATTTATCAAGAACCCAAATGTAAATTTATTCAACATCGCGTTTCTTGTTCTTTTTTTCTTTGTTACAGCTTACCTGTTGATCGACCATAGACACACGGAGAGTGTAACTCTCGTTCGTTTCCAAGGTCAGCTTGACATTACTGAGATCGAGTCCTTCCGCAAAGCGTATCACTAACCCGGTCCCGCCAGCATTCAAAGATACAGGACCACTGAGCTTCCTCGCGGTGTCTTTCATACGAACGACGTTCCTCTGAAGAAGATTTCCCACCGCCGTCTGGGTGGAAATTCCGACGAGCGCAATGTTCTCAGGATTAAGCTGCACCACGGTCTTACCAACGGACATATGTCCCGTCGGCATCGGCCACAGAGTGCCACCTTGGCCGCAGGACAATTGGCACACGCTAAGAGCGGCCGGGTTGGTGTCCTGTTCCGTGATCAAGATCTTCTTGCACAGACCGCCATCGCACTTGTAGTGCCAAGGAGATCTGCGATTTAAAGAAGGCAGATTGGTAATTTTTACCAGATGCCTCGAGCAATATTTCTCTTTCTTACTTTTGCCGCTTTACTTTTGTCAGATGCTCATTTTTGTTTACGAAAATATATGTTAAATATATATTGCAAAATTTCAAACGGTATTTTAGTCTTTATTTTTATTAAATTAAAATTTCGCATTATCTTTTTAATTACTGATTTTATTATCCACGCGTAAATGCAATTCTTTGACGTGACTGTATGAGAGTCTTTTTCTTATTAACGCATAACTATAATATATATAGGACATAATTATTCAATCATCTCTCTTTACTCGCGCTCTTTACTCTACTATCAATCTCATAGACATTTCTCGATCTAAAGAGAGAAGATCGTCTACAGTAACGTGCAAGTATTTAAATCCCGTTGTGAAATTCTAATGTAGGTCTTTAAACCGCTAAATATAAATACGATAAAAGGTATGATTGTACATTCTCATTCGATATTCGCAAAACAAAACTCACATCTTTAAACACGAAAGAATCGTAATGTAACGGTGCGTGACTATACTGTTATATATTTTAGTCATTTTTAGTCGACTTGTGAACAACAACTGATAGTTTTCGATCAAATAGCGCTATTTATATTTTATAATAATACAAAAATATTTTCCCTCATATTTAAGAGCTACATAATATAATTTTATATTATTAAATTATGGATAAAATCCTGAAGTTCCGGGATTTCAGAATCAAACTTCGAAAAAATAATCCTTGTGCTTAATTATATTTTATTATATGTCTAAAGTTTTAATAAAGAAAAAAAAAGTTTTAATAAAGAAGACGCGTGACTCTCTTTCATAAATTTAAGAAAATATAAAATTATATATTTTTTTACAATGTTTTGATTAAATGTTTCCGATTTTATCGGAAGACAAAAATTCTTATCATTTAGGAAAAGAAGCAGCTGCAGATTATATCTGTTTTATTACGGTTCACCGTTATGACGATGCTGTAGTGAAAGGATTATTCTAAGTAGACGTTCGCACGATATTGCTGTATATTCGAATCCGAGAAGTGCGAGAAACAGCAGAAACTCAATAATTTTCTAAATATCTTCGAACTTCGATCGGGAAGACGTCGGAGCGATCGGTGCGGTCTATTTCTCAATGAATCCCACCCACTTGTTGCTTTCACCGTGTACCACGTGAATTACCTTTCTATTTAAAACTAACATTCACGCAATAGCGGATAGCGATCCAGCGCGCTATCACTTGACCGCTTTCAAAACGTGTACACACATACACGATATATAGCGTGCTGATTCAGCCACGTGAAAAACAATTAATGATAATGACTCAAAAATATAATACGATAAGAGCGCATTCGACGCTGAAAATTGAAAAAGACTGACGTATATATCGACGAACCAAAATTCAAACGTCAAAATCTAAATCTATCTATCTATCAGAATTACACGGCCGGTCTTCAAGTATCGCTTTTTGTACCAAAAGTGTGCGAATGACTTCTAAAGTGACCTCTAAAGTGACAATCGAGCGGCATTTTTCCGTATCTACGATATCGAGCATTAAGTTCGAAATTATAAACGCGACTAATCTCTTAGTTATATACTCACGTGAACACCTCGGCCTGATTGGCGCCGTATTGCAGCGCGAGAACGAAGATCAGTAGCGCGAACATGCTTAAAGTGATCGCCAGGGCTACTGGCAGTCGAACGCTCGATTGTCGCCCGTAGAATGATTTTATCCTTCGCCGGCTTCGCCTAAAGATCGTGCTCATACCGTGTTTGCGAAGTAGAGGGGAAAGAATCTATAGTGGGGCGAAAGCGCAATGTCGATCTTTAGCGTGCGAAAAATGGTAAACGCGCGTAGAACGCAAATTATTTCACTGCATCAGAACAAAGTCTATGAAAACTGCAGTAAATAAATAAATATATATATATATACATATATATATGCATATATACATATGTATGTGTGCGTATATAAACACACACACAACATGCACACACATAGATAAATCGCAAAATAAAATTTATTCGCAAGCCGAAAGCCATTGATATTTTATATCGATATATAAAAATTATATCGGATCGCATCTAATAAAATGTTTTCGTTATGTCTTCTATCATAATAAAAACATTATATAATTATTTTTAGCACACTAAATAATATTTTGTATTTTGGCGCATTGACATTTATATTATCTATATATGCATCTAAAATTATAAATCCCTTTTTTTTCTCTGCAGCTTTCCAAATTACTGCATCATTAATCTGCAATATAATACACGTAACACACGTGATATACGTAATTAAAAGTAAATGTCAAATATTCACTCAGCTGTTTGCCGTTGACAAAATATTTGCGCGAAATATAAATGTGTTGGCACGATGATTTCGTACGCCTTATGTCAAAGTTATACCACTTGGAGTAACGCGAAGCGTTTATAGCTGCGATTGTTGGCCACTTTCAACACAAACTGTATTGTTATAATCGTCAAAACGTTAGTTGTAAAATAAGTAATATACTTGTTTTATGACTAACCATGCACTAACCATGTCGCACTCGACATCGATAGATAATTATTATCATATCTTAGTATACGATTTTCTTGATTACTCCCCTCCCATTTCTCTTAAATTTTGACAATTAATCTCCAAGTAATATTGTTTTTTTTAAATCTCAACCACGTTAATCGATTTATTTATAATAATCACATTTTTGCAAATCAATTGCAGCATATTTCTTAATTCGCCATTAACATGTTGATCGAAAAATAATTTCACATACACAATGAAAGCATAATATACAAGTGTTTTAATACAAGCGATAGCGATGCTTTCAAAATTTGCACAAGTGTCGATTTAATTAGTGCAAGTTAGGTTAGCCGGAATGCAAAACATAAAAATGTCAACTTTTGCATTCTTAGTTAATTTTATTTAATTTTTAGAAAATTGCATTGATATTTATAATATAGATATATACAAGAAAATAATATTAAGTGTCATGCTTAGGAAGTATGTTCTTTAATAAATAGAGGTTATCAAGACAACATAAATTGCACATCATGTGGCAGCGTTCGCAAAGAAACATTTCTGTGAAATTCTTGGTCCTTGAAGCTAGGTTGTCCCCTATTCGTCTCCGCGAATAGCTCTGTATTTCGTCAGTTCGTTCGGGAAAACTCGATTCAACTCCACCAGCATGTTCGCCTTGAATTTCCTATAGGCATCAATTTTTCCCTTCACCTGTTCATTCTTCGTCAGGGCCTTCTCTATACAGTCTTTGGTATACAACTGAGGATTTCTCCCTTGGTCGATATAACTGAAACGAATGTTTTTGTAACAACAGCTTCGTTAGCTGGATGACATCGATTATAACACCATGTGTTATCAGACTTACTCGAATACTTCCAGCGGCACGTGAACATCTTGCACCTGAGACTTCAGCTTGTCAATTTCCTGTAGGCCATTGACTAAACCTTGACTGTAAAGAAAAAAAAAATCTGTCAATTTCCCAGATCAGGAATATTTCATGATTATAATTTATAACTCTAAGCATCGATTGATTTTACGTAAATCAATGTTCGTTATCTACAAATCTTGGAACAGCACTGCGCCAGATGTATTTTCAACAAGTTTCATATTTCAGGTGATATTGATTACAATTTACGGCTATACAAATATGAAGTCTCGGATGATTGAATAATTTATGTCAAGAGAACAATAAAACAATATTGTACTTTCCAAGTTTACTGTGCTTTCCGTGAAGAGCTTTCTGATGGAACACATTAAAGATCTCTGTTAAGTTAATCTCATTAATTGCTATAGAATTGTATAAAAGTGCGCGTCGAAAAGATACACGCAACAATTTATTATTGCTCAATCGTGGTATGTGTAACGCGCGTTGTCGCACTGCTGAGAGGTTAATTTAATAAGGATAACATCTCCACGCGTGAATACGCGAACGTACGCACGTTGCACGAGTACTCACATCTTCTGATTCAGTACGTTTTGCCCTTGAGGTTGAAAATCGCTCACTATAATGCGTATCTGCCGTACGTTCTCGATGAAGAGTTCCAACTGAGCCTCCAGATTCTCCAAGGCGGACGCCATTTTTGTTTACAACCGCTGCGCTGCCGTGCCGTCGCTGGTCGCGCTGACGTAGCTGCTCGGCACCAGAGGGATCCTCTCTGGAATTATCATAAAATTACCGACAGATCAGCTGGTAATAGCAGAGAGGATCCTCTCTGGTAATAGATCGATCGTTGGTGACGAAGTTTAGAGAATATTAAATATATGTATGTATAAAAAACGAAATTTTGACAAAGTTTTTAAATTAAGCATTATTTCCAATACACATATATTAGAAATTAACAAATAAATATTTTTGAGATTAGCTTATAATTATATGGTTTATATTATATAATTATTTAAAATATTATAAGTAATTATATAATCGAACTGAAAATAATATTATAAAATATTATAAAAATATGCTTCAAATTATATTATATATATATATTTCATACACGTTTGTCATATTATTAAAACGATTATTTTATTTATAAAAAATTAATATACAAATATCTACGATATGTATTTTTTTAGCATGCGATAGAAACTAAAAACTAGAAGATTAAAATATAATGCATGAAAACGATCTCATTTCCCTTCCTCCGTTTCTCTTGGAAGAAGCGAAAATTGCATTAATTTCTATATGGCGTTAAAAAAATATATATAATATGACTTGAAAAAATGAGTACATTTCAATTACAAGTCATGTAAGTTTCGCGTGTGCATCGTATAAATTTACATTTCTTTTTTAATGCGTAAATGCCGTAAATTATATCGTTCTAGATAGACGGCCCGCACGTGTTTCGGCATACACATTGCCATGCAGTAACGAAAATCTGAACTGATCTGAACTATTTTCCATATTACTAGATTTTCAATACTGGCAGTGTATATCGGAATGTAATCTGGGTTGTTACAATAAAATTGAGACTAACGAGATCGGTCCTTGCGATAATTAAATCTTCGCGCTGTCGTTGTCTTTCCCGCCAGCGAGTTTCTTTTGTTTCCGCGTATGTCCGCACATACACATACATACGCGCGCACACAACAGTGGTAGCCGTGGTAGAAGATTATTCGGTTATTGTCCTTCGGTGTTCGCCCGCGCCGATCTGTAGGGACGATCGATCTATCCTCCGTGATTGATGTAATTTAGGACATTTCGTTGTGTAAGTAGAGCTTGCGTCCTGCGACCCTTGCATCACTAATCGTGCCGGATACATCTCAATTATTCGCCTATTTCTGTCTCTGAGGTATCTAAAAGGTTCCGTAAGTTACTCAAGCTCTTCTCGTGTATCGCATCGAGGGAGAGAGAAATCGCGTACTTTGCATTACGCAAATAAACATGTTGTGTATGCGGTGCTCTTACGTTCAGCGGTCGGAATATCAAATTCCGTTTTAAGAAGTGGCATATCTTCGTTCGTACGTTTAACAGCACAATTCGATATTCCTTGAAAGAGCGAGAAAATCAGTGAATCCGTATCGCCACGATATCTTGCGTGTTGCACCGTGATTGGACGTAACAACTAACAACTACCTGTATACGTTGTTAATTGTCACTCCAAAAGGTCTTTGTGTGGTGACCCCTACGAGTATTGCATTATCCAATTTTTGGAAAGTTTGCGAAAAGAATTATAGAGCGAGTAATACAAAAAAAGGATAGGGAAGATTAAGAGGAAAGATAAGAGGATTGTCTAAAATTTGGCGGAATTATATATCTTTTTCTGAAAGATTAAAAGGAAATAAAATAGAAGGCACTTAACCCTAGGTATACAGTTTTTTTTTTTGACGACGTATACATATTACATACTGGGGTCCCGGGGACTTCATCCATATTTATTACTGTAACTCTAATAAAAATGGACATATTTCAATTAATTTTTTTTCAATCGATAGAGAATTGACCAAGAAATAAGCCCATAATGTTTAACAGTCGATAGAATTAAGGAGCTCCAAGATACACGAGTTTAAAGAAAAAGGAAAGTTCAAAAACGCGAAAAAAATCTCAATTTAATACCTTTTTTCAAAAAATCATATCTCTTTTGTTTATAGACCGATTTGAAAAATCCTTGAAAATTCTGAAAGGGCATACTTGAAATAGTAGCAAAAAAATTTGGCGATCCGATATTTTAATTTTTTAACAAAATTGCAAGCAGTCCCGGGGACCCCATGCTCACTAACTGTTCACTGCTCAGTTGTTGAGCGACAATTGCCGCGCGTTAACACATCTTTCTACTGAGGAGATCCCAAACTTTTTTTTATGTCAATATCCCAAATCCCTCTCCTTCCAATTTCAGAAAAGTCAAACCAAAAAGTTTCTCAGGGACCCCAGTGTATATCTAGGATTAAATATCCTTCACCCAAAGGGTAACTCATAAAAAAACATGTTTTCCCCACAGAACAAACAATATAATATGATATTCATATCATGAATATTTGTATTCATAATTAAAAAATGTCATATTTAATAAACACGAACCAACAGTGGCACTACTCATCAATATTATTTAATAATTTTCCACTCAACAATATAAGTATTATATATGACATATGTTGTGTGTAACAGTTATATTGTTGAATAGGAAATTATATGATATTATTCTAATGTTATTTTTAGTTGGTGTTTATGTCAGAGTTCTGTTACTGTAAGACATTCGTGAAATTGTTTTTTATTTACGTGTCTAATTTATGGATAGATGACCAGAAAATCTATATATAATTACCCCTAAATTTAAAATTATATAATATATATATTATATTTAATATATATAATATATAATATAAAAAAAATTATGTAATATATTTTTTAAATTTAAGTTTATAATATAATACAAAAGTTTAATTTATAAATTTAATTTATATAGTACATAATTTCTCTTTTTCAGCGTGGATAAGCTATTATGAAAAAATTATCGTCAACTACGACAACGGCGTCGACGACAACAGCGTCGCCGACAACAACATCGCCGACAACAAGGGCGTCGACGGTCAAATTGTCAGCGCCAAAGATGAAGATACCATCGAGGATGACAATATCAACAACTGCTGATATGACGCCATTGACAGTAACGGCAGTGTCTCCATCAATGTTGTCCACAACGTCTACCTCAGCATGGGCACTAGAATCAAGGATCATACCACCTATACTACCGATACCACCTATACCACCATCATCACGGCCCATACCGCCCATATCAGAATTTAACTGGATCACAGAACCACCGATGTCTACATGTTCCTCAATGCCTTCCGTCAAATCAATGAAACTGATGGTGTCCACGACAACAGCATCAGGGATGCAGTTGAAGGTAGCGTCGACGATGGTGCCTGCGTCAACAATGACGGTATCGACGGTGTCAACGATAACGACGCCGACGACAACTGTGTCAAGGAAGACTGTATTGCCAATAACAATGTCAATGGTAATACCTGCGTCAACGACCACATCAATAACGACTGCATTAACAACAGGAATGCCTATGGCATCAACGACCATGAAACTGACTAAAATGCCTGCGTCAACAATGATAGCATCGACCATGATGATGTCGACAGCAACAGCGGCGTCGACGACAACGGTGTCAAAAATGATAGAAAACAACGGAAATGTTATCAACGGCAATAACAACGGTACCGGCGGTGATGCCTGCGTCAACAACAATGATGGTATCAATGACAACAACGGCGTCGAAAAGAGTATCAAACAAGAGGAAAAAGTCGACATCAACTGCATTGGCAATAATAGCAATGTCGGCGGTAATACCTGCGCCAACGACAATGACCGCGTGAACCGCATTGCCTACGTTAATGACAACGCCGGTGCCATCGGGTACAACAATGTCAACAATACGACCGTCGTACCTGCGACGACAATGGCTGCCCAGACCCTAATTACAATACATGTAAGTGTAAAAGTTTTATATACATAAGTCACTTTGGACGCTCACCCTGTAAGTGTCATTTTGTCGTTATCGCTCATTATACAAGGAAGAAAATGTATCTTACAACGCGTGAGCGCTCAAAGCAAGCCGTATCTAGTGTTGCTATTTAGAGATAATTTAAATCTATTTTTCTTTGTAACAGAATTTATGGCAAGATTAAATAAATATTAATTAAATCAGATTGAATTATAAAAAATTTTTTTTAATATAAAGATTCGAATTTAATATTATAGAATCGATATACTTTTTTAAATATATTAAATAATTGTTATTTGCAAAGTTTAGACATTTTTAGACCGGACATTCTTTAGATCTGCAAGGGAGAATAATAGGAAATGAAAATCAATCGCAATATACAGCTTCCTATGAATTGATTGTATAAATATAGTATTTGAAATTTTATTTGTAAATGTGTAAATATTTTAGCGTGCTCAATTTCGTTATTAATTTTTTATACACAAGTATATTTACATGTTTTTTACATTTATTTTTTACATTTCAGAGAGAAGAATTAGATGCCCTCGTACAAAATGCCGTCAGGACCGCTCTAAGAGAACGAAATCAACGAGAGCGTGATAGAGGTGGTAGAACAGAAATACAGAGAAGAGGAAGAGGTGTAGAAAGAGGAAGAGGCGTAGAAAGAGGAAGAGGACGAGGTGAAAGAAGTGGAACAGAAATACAGAGAAGAGACGAAGAAAGAGAAATACGAGGAAGGGGAAGAGGAAGAGGAAGATACGGATACAGAAACTGGTGTACAAGAAGAAACTGGCATACAAGGAGGAACTATACATACACACACCAGAGTATTGTAATGCATTTTTATAACTAAATATATATGAAAACACATACGTAAAATATATATACCTATATATAATATGATAAAAGTTACGCAAATTAATAATAATTTTAATTTGAGATATAACATATATTATGTTTTATAACTAAATTTGAAGATTACATATGATATACATGATAAAAGTGATTACAAATTAATAATTAATTTTTTTTTTTACTTGAGATACGATATATGTCTTATAAATTTAAAGATGACAAAATGAACATATATATAATAAAAGTTAATATAGACGTCTTAAAGACGTCTTTCAGTAAATCTTTTTGGACGTCTTAAAGACGTCTTAAAGACGTCTTTCAGTAAATCTTTTTGGACGTCCGAAACATTTTAAGACGTCTTTTAGTCGTCTTTAAGACGTCTTATTGTTCACTGGGAAGTTAATAATTTTTTATTTGAAGATTTGATTTTTTATTTCTACAACATAGAAGAGATACAACATATATAATTAAATATATGTGAAGATAATATAAAATACATATAATACATAAAACATATCTAATCGACATTCATGTAAGCATATAATAAAAGCAATACAAAATTTTTAACTTAATTTTTTATTTATTTTTGTATTTTCTCTCTTTCTCTAGATATATATAAAATCTTATAGTGCTGCGTTTTGACTTCAAGCTGATAGCATAAAAAATTCTTATTAGTTAAAGACCTGTCTTTTGGGTAGTTCACGATTTGTATTAATTACAATTTCACATAATAACTTACATTGATTTTAATTAAAATTTTAAAAGTAAAAAAGTATTGTATTATAAACTTGAAAAATGTCGGTAGTAAAATTTATTAATTGGTTTATTGATAATGTAAATATGATATATATTTATATAATGATAACATGACATTTATTAATTATTTTAATAATCATATTTATATTTATCAACAGTCAATAATATCGAAATTTTTTAATTCTGGGATTCTCTTGATAGTCATGAAAATTTGTCCAGAAAAGAAGAGCCGACGGTTTTTAATAATATACTCGTCGATATCACGAGATGTTACATTTTTGCGAATATCTCTCCCAACGAATGTGATGACATTACCATCGGTATCATCGTATCTTCGTGCTCCGTCCGTGCTGCTCCGTGCAGAAAGAATGGCAAAAGACAGAAAATGCAATGGCCGCCTAGAACACGTCCGGGCTGACGCAAGCTGACGTGTCGTGGAACCTTTTCGCCGTCCGAAATTTTATTCGCAGTTAGATATGATTACGTTTAAGCGCGACAAGAAGGAGGAGGAGGACGGTAATTATGAATTAATATTCCTATCATCCGTTCTTAGCGCGAACATCGTCCGCGAGCGAAAGTTGGAAGTCGCGTATAGGTTATCGGGCAGTATCCGGACAATTGGAAGTAAACACATTTTCACAGCTGTAGCAAGTGTTATGATAAATACAGCCACAGGATTAGATATCGAGTGATTTCCCACGAGCGTAACTTTCCAAATTATACGTCTTATAAATCTCAACAAGAATTTAGCGTCGATGAACATTATTGAGCACTGACACATGTCTTTTTCTGTCACAATCAAGGCGGTGGGAATCCGTTTCAAAACCTGGAGAAGACCACCGTTCTTCAGGAGGCACGTACGTTCAACAACACGCCGGTAAATCCGAGGAAATGCGCCCACATTCTCACGAAGATTCTGTACCTGCTCAATCAGGGCGAGCAGCTGGGCACGACGGAGGCCACGGAGGCCTTCTTCGCCATGACGAAGCTGTTCCAGTCGCGCGACGTTATACTGAGACGGCTGGTCTACCTGGGCATCAAAGAGTTGAGCTCCGTGGCCGAGGACGTGATCATAGTCACGTCCAGCCTCACGAAGGACATGACGGGGAAGGAGGACCTGTACCGGGCCGCCGCCATCCGGGCGCTCTGCACCATCACCGACGGCAGCATGCTGGCGGCCATCGAGCGTTACATGAAGCAGGCGATAGTCGATCGCTCGCCGGCCGTGTCCAGCGCCGCCCTCGTCTCGTCCCTCCACCTGACGAGCGTGTCCAGCGACGTCGCGAGGAGATGGGCGAACGAGGCGCAGGAGGCGCTGAACTCCAACAACGTGATGGTCCAGTATCACGCGCTGGGTGTCCTGTACCAGGCGCGCAAGGCGGACAAGCACGCGGTGATCAAGCTGGTCGCCAAGCTCATGAAGACGAGCCCGAAGAGCCCGTACGCGGCGTGCATGCTGATCCGTATGGCGTACAAGCTGCTGGACGAGGTGGACGAGGGCGAGGAACTGATAGGCTTCATCGAGTCCTGTCTGCGTCACAAGTCCGAGATGGTGGTGTACGAGGCGGCGCACGCCCTGGTCAACCTCGGGCGAAGCGGCGCCAGGGAGATCGGACCGGCGATCAGCGTCCTGCAGCTGTTCTGCGGCTCGCCGAAGCCGGCGCTACGTTTCGCCGCGGTCAGGACTCTCAACAAGGTCGCGATGTCCCACCCGGCGGCGGTCACGGCTTGCAATCTCGATCTGGAAAATCTGATCACGGACTCGAACAGATCGATCGCCACCCTGGCGATAACCACCCTCTTGAAGACCGGAGCGGAGAGCTCCGTCGACCGTCTGATGAAGCAGATCGCCACCTTCGTGTCGGAAATCTCAGACGAATTCAAGGTCGTGGTAGTCCAAGCTATCAGGTAAGCTTCACCTTACGCGATAATTACGTGCGATAATTATTATATTATACTATTTCTTCTAAAATCTTTCTCCTTCCTCAGGGCTCTGTGTCAAAAGTTCCCCCGCAAGCACGCGGTTCTGATGAACTTTCTCTCGGCTATGCTGAGGGACGAGGGCGGGCTCGAGTACAAAGCGGCGATCGCCGACACCATTATAGCCGTGATGGAGGGGAACGCGGAAGCCAAAGAGGCGGGACTCGCGCACCTCTGCGAATTCATCGAGGATTGCGAGCACATCTCCCTCGCCGTGCGCATCTTGCATCTACTCGGCCAGGAGGGACCCACGTCGAAACAGCCGTCGAGATACATCCGCTTCATCTACAATCGCGTCATCCTCGAGAGCGCCAGCGTGCGAGCGGCGGCCGTTACCGCGCTGGCACGTTTCGCTGCCGCCTGCCCGCCCCTGCTTCCGAACGTGCTGGTGCTGCTCTCACGTTGCCAGCTGGACTCGGACGACGAGGTTCGCGATCGCGCGGCCTACTACTGCACGATTTTGCAGCAGCAACACGATCCGACTATATTGCCCCTGGTGCAGCCGCCCTCGCTGTCGGTCCCGACGTTGGAAAGGGCCTTGCGGAATTACATGCAGACACCGATGGAAGAGTCGTTCGACATTTCTCAGGTATTGTATTCTCTCCGATTTTCTGAGGCACTTGTTCATAAAAACGGAATAATTATCTTAAATTAATGTATACAAGCATCTCTTTTGTAGAAAGACAAAGAACAATATTAATAATACCTCTTCCTCTAATCATTTTTATTTATACATTTCTATTTCTCTAATAATTTCTATTTATATTTTAAGAGTCTTTGTATTCTAAGTATATTAGTGAAACGTAAATGAGAGGAGAAATAACGAGGGTAGGAAATTGGAATTATACTGTATAAATTAGTGATCTTTTATGATTACAGTAACAAGAAGCTTATACATATATATATTCTTTTTTCAGAAAATTTCCGATCGACTTAAAATTTTTTTTGTTTATTCATATATAATTATTGAATATTACAGGTACCTCCAGCTCAGACGGTGGAGGAACCCGTTCAAGTGGAAGTGCACACCACTATCAAGCAACCTCGTTTGACCAGGGAAGAAAGCTACATGGAGAAATTATCGCAGATCCCGCATTTAGCCGTGATCATACGAGACACGTCGCTCCTCAAGTCTTCGCCGGTGTTTGAATTAACGGAATCCGAAACGGAGTACAATGTCAAATGTATCAAACACACATTCCCCGAGTATCTCATTTTGCAGTTCGACTGCGTGAACACGCTGTCCGATCAACTCCTCGAAGATGTGGTAGTGGCCGTTGAACCTTCCGAAGGGTAAGTTCATTTAACGATTATATTATATCACTCCTCGCATTTTTTTTTCTGACATGATGTAACGAGCCGTTTGTTTCAGTTACTCCATTATATGCGTCGTACCGTGTCCGCGATTGCCCTACAACGAGCCGGGAACCACCTACACAGTATTAAAATATCCGGATGATATACACGCGAGTGTCGCTACCATTCCCACGACGCTTCGATTTATGGCAAGGGATTGCGATCCGACGACAGGAATACCAGACGCGGATCAAGGATACCACGACGAATATATGGTAAAAGATCCAGCTTTTTAAATGAAAGTGATGAAAAATCCTCATATAAATCTCATATATCTGTGAGCAATTCATTGACATCAAAACTTGATACTTTCCGAAATCTCATTGAGAGAAGAACACGTTTATTTATATAAATATTCGTTTTATATTAACGAAATTATTATTGCTATTCACAAAATTAATGTTATTTAACGCGATATTTTAGTTGGAAGATTTGGAAGTGACGCTAGCCGATCAAGTACGTGGCGTCGGCAACAGAGGCATGGACTTTAACACCGCTTGGGATACATACGCCGCGAAGGGATTTAACAAGCTAGAAGAGACATTCGCCTTGGGGGCCTCGGTGACGTCACTGGAAGGCGCGATTCAAAGTCTTACGGGATTCCTGGGCTTGGAAGCTGTGGAACGTAGTAACAAGGTACAGAGCGGAGCGGCCGCCCACAATCTGCTCCTAAGCGGCGTCTTCCGAGGAGGAAAGGAGGTGCTGGCGCGTGCCAGACTAGCGCTGAGTGGAACGCAAGTTACGATGCAGCTGTCCGTTCTCTGTCAAGATCCAGACGTCGCTGACCTGATAGTCTCGTCCGTAGGATAGAGTATTTCAAATGAAGGTAACGTGAGAATTTTCGCAATAGAGGAGAAATATACATATATTCGCTGACATTGCTGTAAAATAATTTTTATAATATAAGATTATCGTTATATAATATATATAAATATACATGGAAATTATCGAAGAATACTGCGCCTGTATTTCTTTTCTTCGTTAATACATCATGTGACCTTTCCTTAAATGCATTACAATAATCATTGCACAACCTTCTATTACCTCTAACACACATAATAATGATATATAGTGACAGTGCGATTTTTTGGTCAAATTTGACACTATCGTTTAGTAGCTCGTTATCGACACAACCGAAAAGATAGTGATTCTTCTATATAAAAAAATAAATATATTTTCGCTAACAATTCGTTTCTAGCAGATTTAAACGATTCACAAAACAAACAGGAAAACTGACAACAATTATATATTAGACCTCTCTTTCACACATACATATATATATATATATATATATGTATACATACATATATATTCCTTTCTGTAGTTACAAATTTGTTCGTGCATTTGTACGAGAATTATAAAAGTGTTAAATAGTGTATAAATATATTATCAGGTATTTACAGAGTATTTTCATGCACGATGCGATTGCCGTACTTGTCATTGTCTGCGGAACGTAAAACTCGATTCCGTAAAAAAAAAAAAAAAAATTAATCTCGCATCGAAGACGAACTCTAGCGGACACCTTATCGCCTTCGACATTCAGGTGAAATGAATATTTTCTCTCGGATGTCCATTAAGTTGAATGACATTGTAAGGATAAGTCATTTTCTTCCGGTAATAGATTATCCCTGTACGCCAATCGCGATAGGTAAATACTTATAAAAAATCTCTAACGCTACCATTACATCAGTTCTTTGTACGTTTCATACAATCAATTTCACATATCGATCCACTGATCCCATTGATTGTTCAAATGCTCTTAAAGCTGCAATATATATACTGCATTGCAAATGCACAAATATATGCACAAATGTTAAATAAGTTAGACTAGCAGTTTGCGCGATTGACAACGTTATAAAATGGAAATAATAGAGATTGCTGAAAGCTGCTCGTTATCAGGTCTTGAAGTATGATATTAAATATTAGCCATTAGTATATATATATGCGTTCGCAATCTGTTCCCGCCACTGAAAACGTATTCTAAGAGGCGCGCTTATTCGTTAATAACGGAATAGCATGTAATTCCAAAAAGAACGCGCCTAATTTCATACGTTTAGTCGTCATTAACGTATTGACCTGTAACCGTAGCGGTTTGATGATACCTCCTTCTTCCAGAGAAATCCTCGTTCTCCTCGTTCAGTTGAGCCGAACACGTTTCAACGCCCGGATGCACCGGGGTCACTACTATCTGCTCGTAATCGTAAACTTTCCTCCTGCAACGATAAGATACAAATTGCCTTCTAAAGGAATCTTTCCATACCTATAATTTTTTATAAGCGGATATAATTAATTCTTAAGAAAAAAAAGGGAACAAATCATTTCCTGTTAAAATAATTCTTATGCTTCTCGAGTTTATCGATTTAAGGTAATTGTTTAATAACAACAAAGTTGTAATTAATTTACCCCATAATTCGAAGTAATGCAATCCGAAACCACTTAAGGAATTGGAATTCCGCAGCAATTCCAGGTTTTACAGCAGGATTAGCGTGGCCGACGTAACTCCAGACGAGGAATACGACGACGATATTAGCGAGCGCGTATCCCCAGTGCACGAGAAACATTATAAGTAATTTTACGAGGCACTGCAATGTGAACGTATATGCATTATATTAATCTTCAGTGCAATTAAAATATTTCCTTATAGATTTCTCAAGTGGAACGTGAAAGAGTGACATCGTACGATTGTCTCAACGAATAAATACTTACGCCCAACAGCGAAAACCATCTATTGCACAAAGGACTGTACCAATTTCCTAGCTTATTGTGTATGTGAACCTTTCGTTCCGGTGTGTTAGAGACACTGGCATTATCCTCGATACTCGGCGACGAATCCACATACACGTTATTGTCGGATAAACTGTTGTTTCTCTGTATTTAAAATTCAACAAACGTTACTGGATAAATTCTTCAAGGTGGGCAATAATAACTGCGCGTGTTTCGACACGTGCGATTTCTCACCATAAGATTTTTGTGTCTTATTCTCTCGGGGAACAGACTGTCCAGATCGTTGTCCGTGTCGGTTATCGAGTTGTTCCTACTTGCGGAACCGTAATTGCGATCGAATGTCGGGGACTGCGTGCGGAATCGTTGCTCGCGCGTATGCCGAAGATCAAACGTTTGCGCGAGGGCGAAGTACGCGTAATCCAGGCAGGCGTACGTCAACAGGAATGGCATCGTCACGATTGGGGCGAGTGTATTAATTTGACCGGTGATGATGAACGTCAACGTTACTACAGCAACAACCAGCATAGCGTATATAGGTACTTTATTTGGTCCTCTCTGAAAACAATAATTATCGCTAATAAATTGTTACGCTATAAAAAGGAATTATATTTCTATGATATAAAAAAAGATATAAATTTTCTCTTAAGCATAGAATAAAATAAATCCGATAAAAATTCGGATTTAAATCCGAAATAAATTCTCTTTTTCTCTCTATATTTTTTGTTATTTAATATACTTCAAAGACAAATTAAAAAATAATGATGACGAGAATAATTACCCCTCTTTGCAAGCAGCTCATTCCTGGTATAACATTTTGACTGGCGATAGATTGGAGAACGCGAGGTGTGCCGTACATGGCACCCAAACAGCTGCTGAACGACGATACGTAGAGACCAGCGAGTAGCAACACCGAGATTGCCGACACCGTCGACGCTATGGTAAAGTTGGTGAGCAAAGCGTTTCTGACGCAAGTCGCCGCGAGAGTCAACGAAAAGCACAAGTACAAGAATGTTCTGCAAATAACAGTCGTTTTATTGTAACGTTAAAAACTTTCTTAAAAACAAAACTTTCAAATTAGAGACAATTTATCTCACCCGGTTCCCAATGCCGCCAAAGTACCATTGGGAATGTCGCTAGACGGATGCCTCAAGTCTCCGCTCATATTAATTCCAGCTAAAACACCGGTGACGGTGGGAAAGAAAACACCGAATACAGTGAACCAGTTATATTCGTCCTGATAATCGGGGAAGGTGTTGTTTCTCAAATTTCCTGAGAGCCAGCCTTCAAAACCAGAATCTGCAAACGGTTCAGTGGCAACTTCAGCATTTATATACGCTACATACTTTGCATATTTTATATGTAAAGACAAAGAGATTTCGTGCAACTCTATATCACGCAAAAATCGCATATTTTACGACACAATTACGACAGTTTTGTATAATCTTACCGATATTGGTATGAGTGAAACTTCCAACCATAAAGTCAACCCCAGCGAGGAGTAGGATCAGAAGGAGGACAAACTGTAATTTTACAACCCACTTAACACCCGCCACATTAATTACGGACAACAGCACAACGGCCGCGCACGCGAAGCCGCGTTGTGCCCATGCCGAATTGAAACCTACAAGACCGGCCATCGACTCCCCAAAACCTAAAACGTTCAGAGCACAACCCACCGCCTGAAATAAAATCCACAAACCGATTCTTGGAATCGCCGATAAAAGCACGATGAGTTTTATTCTTGTCTTTCCTACCTGCCCGAAGCAGTAGAGTAATCCGATGGAGCCGCCAAATCTGGAGCCCATCACGTGCGACAGCAGGAAGTACACTCCGCCGCTTTCCACTCTACACCGTTCGCATATGCCCACAGCTGACAGTACCGTCACCAGTGCGATACACACTGAAATCATTACGGTACACAATAATTTCTCCCAATGTCTGCATCTCTTGATTGACTTATTAAAAAGAAAAAAACAAAGCAATGATTTATCTCCATAAAAACGTTCTAATTTCTGTAGAGGATATAATCTCTCCCAATGTCTGGATCTTTTGATAACATAGATATATTTAAAAAATATATATTTAAAAACATATATTTAAAAAAAAACAAAGCAATGGTTTTTATTTCCACAAAAACATTCTAATTTCTGTAGAAGATATTATTATACCATCACGAAAGGATACACTTTATGAAAGATGTACAGTCATGGATACATCGGTTGTGACACTTTCTTTTTTACAGGTTTCAAAGTGCACTAATATTTTGCAAATGCAGACCGCGATTGGTGTTACACTGTCTCCAGACTAAAGATAAAGTACATCGTGGTTCGCATTTGCAAAATATTAGCTATCTATAAAGTATATATTATGCATATTAAATATATATTGTGATGTGTCCACGATTGTACTTGGCGCGAGACTACTGCATCTCTTGATAATAATAACAATAATAATAAACGTATCAGTTAACAGTCTAATAATATTACCTGTACAAAAGATGATTAATACTGCGTTCAGAACACCTGCCTGACCGACTATCCATCCAGACCGCAGAAATACAATTACGCCAAATATGTTAATAAGGCAAGACGTAAAAACCCCATCCCAGGTGCCAAACAACACAGGCTGGGAGATGAAGAAGTTGGATTTCCACCAGGGATCTGAACTCTGCGGGAGATACAAGAGACGGGTGATGCTGTAGTGCCGCACACAGTGAAGATCAATATGTTACAACAGTCATCGTGTCACATCAGAGATATACTCCTTACGTATTCCTGCGCGAACAACTCGTTCACCCCGGCCTGATACATTTCCGGGTCGAGGGCATCGTTGCCGTCCCCGCTGGCCCTCTTCGCTTCGCTTTCCCGCGCCTCCGGGTCGCGCAAGCCGTACCTGGCCCAGTCGACGTCCCTGTGCACCACCCGGACGTCGCCGTTTGGAAGCCTGCTCTCCTCGTTCCTCGACCCCATGTCTTCTCCCCGGTGCGAAGCGGGCACGCGCGCGAGCCAGTACAGACGGTGCTTAGTTCCCGCTCGTCAGCCGCTCATTCACGTGGCGATCTCGTCACAAAGCTCTCCTACGTTCGTTTACCAATCGTCATACCACCCTCGTCACTGGCAGTCCCTGAAAGCTCCTCTTACGATACCCTCATCTCGCGATCTGGCAACGCGTAGAGGTTAGAATTTGCGCGAAAGAACGTATCTTTAATATCGCACGACGAGCGCGACGGACGGACGTTCTGTGCGTAAGAGCTGCGCCCTCAGTTCATCTTATCAAGCCGCTGAGTCCGCATCTTCTCGCGATAGCCGCGATATTTATCACTCGCTGGTGACGTGTGACTGGACGACAGGAGCCACCATCTTGACAGCCTGACGCTGGTACCTAACCTACGCGGATCTGCGCCACCGACGAGGTGCCATCGAAGATCCGTGTAGGCTGGGTAAAATTTCGTTTATCAGGCGAACGTAATCTGAATGTAATCGAGGAACGGTGATCTTACCTGCTTGACTTTAATGTCAATTAATAAGCCCGGTCAAATCTTTGGTTTAACTTGAATTGATTAGCATTTAGTAATCAAAACGAACATCCTTTAATCTCTTATTAATTAATATTGTTCTAGTATTATATATTAATAATTAAATCCAGTCAAGCCTTCGGTTTAACTTGAATTGATTGATTAGCATGTTTTGATAATGAAAACGAAAATCTTTTAATCCATTACTAATTAATATTTATTAATAATTAATTACTAATTAATATTTATTAATAATTAAGTCCAGTCAAGCCTAAGGTTTAACTTGAATTGATTGATTAGCATGTTTTGATAATCAAAACGAAAATCCTTTAATCTGTTACTAATTTTATTATTATTATTATTTATTAATAATTAAGTCCAGTCAACCCTTCAGTTTAACTTGAATTGATTGATTAGCATGTTTTGATAATGAAAACGAAAATCCTTTAATCCAATTAATATTATTAATATACATATAGATTATATTTTTTTTAAATCTATCTTTACTTACTCGTAATTTTGCATTACACATGTACAACATCCACGCTTACTCGAACTAAAGATAAGAGTATCATCAAAGAAGCTGCACGTTAAAATATACATTTATTCGTATTCAATGAGATTGTAAACAAGTTTATGCGCACGGAAATGTATTAATCTAAAAACACATGTATTCGCTGCAGTTACTTTTTTGAAATGTTAGTTTTTCGTGTTGTGGTAAAAAATTCGAAAATTGTCTCGGGACTCGGTAGGATCGGTGTTTGTCTACGAGAAGGTATTATCCGCACTCTCTCTCTCTCTCTCTCTCCCCCCTTTCTCTCGCGATCTCTCATCACTTGAAACCATCGCTAATTTCCGCACGTTCCCGTGCCGAATTTATCCACGCACCGCGGAAGCGGTACGTGGAGCCAGTCTTTGATACAATATAACGATAATTCCACGATAACTCTCTTCCTATCTCTTCCACCAAAGTTACAGTATATCTATTTATTTACATGTATAAGTTATTTTAAGCTCCTCGCCTCCACTTCTCCCCGTTACTGAACTTGGTCATCTCCCGACCGCTGACGCCGCAGGTACCAATACCCACGCGACCGTTCACGTTCTCCGGGGTCGCGAAGATGCTCTTTTTTATAACGCCCTTCTTCGAAGACTGCGGAGAACAGAAAAGTAGTTATAACGGATGCTTTAGATTATACTCTGAAGACAGCGCCACGTAAATAAAGCTATCGCTCACCTTGTTGGTAAATGCTAGCCACTTGTTCTTTTCCAATTCGCGTTCTTCTTCCAGTTCTTTGAATCGCTGTAATTTCCTCTGCTTCTTCTTCTTAAGGTACTCCCTTTGCTTGTTTGGATCCGAACCCGCAACCGCGGTTGCTTGCATTTTCCTGTAAATGAATAAATCTATCATTCAGAGGTAAATAGAGACTTATGTATATTTCTGTCAATTTATATATACATATATATGCTGAATAACGATTTTTAAAAAACGATAAAAAATTGTTAATACTTTCATATATTATTATTATCAGCACTTGCATCTAGACGAGTATGAATGTTAACATAACTTGGTGTATTTTGTAATCAACTTATAAAAATTAGCACATTTATTTCGATATTGTCACAAAAGAGCAAGATAATACATGTATTATTAAAAAATTAGTAATATATATATATTATTTGCTACGCCGTTTATATAATTATTGTGTAGAATATAATTTTTGTGTAGAATAAATTACACTTTTCTCAATTTTTGTTAAACATATAATTATACTAATTAATTTGTCTTTCAAAGCTGTGGTACCATTGAATCGGACAATTCTTGTTACCTTTTCCTGGAGCCCGACGATGCCGCGCACGGACCGCGTGTCATCAAAGGATAAATGAACAATAACGAATGTATTTCGGACGTAGCAATGGTGGAGTAATTGTTGCCAATTCAGGAATAAGAGAGACAGGAGGAAAAAATGAATGATTAGTAAATCGTCGCCTTACATCTTTTACGTTTTTCTATAAAAGTAGGTAGGTAGGATAAAGGTAGACATGTACAAAAGGAATATTTCATATTGGTTCACAAGTGTGATATTGCGTTAGTATGGGTACATCTGAAATGGACTTACTTCGATTTTTGATCTGCCCAGTCTGACGCTGGCCTCTTAGCAATGGACTTCAGCTGGCTGAGCATAGTGACATCAGTGTTCTTGTACTCATTAAACGTCAAATTTACTATTCCGTCTTCACTTATCGCGTCTATAGTTGCTTCATAATACCTGCAAAATTTTATAAAACGTAACATTAGAAAGAATTGCACGAGATGCTTCATTTTGGAATAATTATAACACTGTCTTTTTTTGTAACAAAATCATTGCGAATATATCGTTTTTCAACACAAATATTCAATTCATAATTAATACTTGCTTAATATTAATATCCTTTAACAACCTTTTTCTGCCTCTGTAATGTTTCTTTTTAATATTCGACATTACAGAAAATATTGCAGGAAAAAGTCAAATTAAAATGTTCTTAAAATTAAATTCAATATTAACTGGAGAATAAATTTAAAAACAAACAACTAATACTGCCGAAATCCTTCCTGATTCACTAATTTTTTGCTATAAATAATTTCACCTTTGAACAATTTTATTACATCACTTTAAGTTTTAATAATAACGGCTCGGGTAAAATATACAGCTTCCGAAATATCTTAACTATCCTCTACACATGAAACTTAAGACTTAAGATTTAAGAAAATTTATCAGTCGATTATTCATCTCACGTGAGAAAAATAATCAATTACGATTAGTCAATTTTCCTAAATCTTAAGTCTCATTGTAGACACTGCTTTATACCTCGGTACGATGCTGTATACGAATTGTGCGACTTACTATCACGCAATTCAACTGAAATTTTGATTCGACTGCAACAATATGCCTGTTCTTCATAGCCGAACTGGCTGCACTGGTTCAGAGTTTATCTTTCTTCTTCCAAGGCAAAAAGGAAAAGATAAACTTATAGCGTTTTCGATTTGTTGACTCGATCCGACTCCGAGTCAAAATAATCTGTTCTTTTTAGCGTTTCTTGTACACTTTAACTATTTTTTTATAGTTAAAAAGAACAGACCATCGACTCGGAGTCGGATCGAGTCAACAAATCGAAAACGCTATTAGTGCAGCCAGTTCAGCCATAAAGAACGGGCCTAATAATACGCCCGAACGGTACCCACTTGCCATCCTCGCTCCAAGGTGCCATACACAGATCGCCGACTTTCCACTTATTGGCCAGAACTGCAAGCAAAATAGGATCTTTAGCGTCCATGCCATTGGCTTGTCTTTTTTCCTGCTGTTGTGACTTAATTAAATCATGTGTCAGTTTTATTACTTCCTTCAGATCGATCTTCAGCTTTATCAACTCATGATTATTCGGATCTGTCGTGAGTGCCGCTTCCACCTGAAATACAGAACGGGGGGGGGGCGTTAGGAAAGGCCAGCCCGTCGCGAGGACGTCACAGGTGCGTGTGTATAAACGACGTAGGTCGAGAGACCGTCGCGCGTCCGATCGATCGTCGCCGCGAGGTTAAGAAAAGTAAAAACACGGCTCACCTGCTGGAGCTGCAGCTTGTAACTCTGTAAGTCGTCCATGACGCTCGGAAACGGATTTATCCAGAGCCACGAGAGCTTCGGGCCTCCTCTACGTCGCTCGACTCGGAGATCCGATCGCGAAAATAACGTGTTATTGGTAATCGCACTCGCGACGACTCCAGTCAATTGAGTCAATTCCAGGCGAGCGACTCCGAGTTGACAATAGGCGCAGGATCAGTGCTGCCAATGTAACGGCGCGTCGTTTATTTTTCTCGCCCTCCCTCTCGGAGACACCACGAATTTCCAAGGACACGAGAGTTTCAGCAAACAAGATCGAAAAAACAAGCAAGAGCTTATTGTCTCCGTTCGACGTTCAGAAACGTTCAAAAACCTGTCGAAATGTTGAAAGGCGTCGATCACGAAATTAGATGAAGTGATTGCTCTGCTTGTTAGATGGCGACACTATTTCTCTTCTGTCTTCCTCTTCTCTCCCCCCCCCTTTCTCAATCTCGCTCGTTTTCTCCCTTTAAATTTTTCGTCTGGCTACTCCGGCTAATTTTTTTTCTCTTTTAAAAGGTAGTGGGGGAAGATTCCAGAGTTTTCTTGTGATTCCATAGAACTTCCAAAATTTTGTTTTTATTATACAGCGGTAAATATAAGAACGGCTGATTAATCAAAGTATATGTGCGACCATTCGATTCTTATCTTTCTCATTTGTTGCAATAGTAAAAAGCAACTATAAAAAAAATAATAATAACACGTCCCAAGCGATCGCCCATCTAACAAAGTCCTAACCTGCAATAACCAGTGAGGGAATTCGAATGTATCCGTGTATGTGTGTGTCATACGTCATACGGGTATCATCATCCTGAAATCGAAGCTGTTTGAGGTTGTGTGCGTCGTAAATATCTAGGTCTCTCTCGCAGCTGTCTGTGTTTTGACGGAGAAGGTTGCGTCGACGTATTTCTATTAACGCGCGAATACGTCGTGTTACATAACGGAGGATCTCGCTGTGACAGTCTAAGCAAGAGCGTACACCACTGTAATTTGTTCGCTGCTGTTCGCTGGGGTTAGAAAGTTTCGGTCATGGCATACCCGGTAATTATTCCGAATAAACAATTGTAGCAATCACACTTGCACGTATATAGCGGCAATGCGACAGCTTTGATGGCACGCTTTATTCTGTTTATTTTCAGTTTGTTGATGTCACCAAATCGTCCGACACGCGAACGTTAATTGATTAATTGGCTCCGGCACACGGACGAGAAGTTGGCGCCTGATTTCAGCTTGTCCGACAGCTTTTGCAAGCTTTTGCCTATTTTCCTCCCCGCGATTGTACTTAGTCTTATCCGTTCCTTCACAAGAGCACGATGTACGGCTCCACCGATCCGGGATCGGGCGCGGTAAATCCGGAGGTGCAACGATGGTTCTCCACGGTGGACAAGGACGGAAGTGGACGGATAACGGCTACGGAATTGCAGGCGGCGTTGGCCAACGGTCAAGGGGGTACCTTCTCCGACACAGCGTGCAAGCTGATGATCGGTACGTTTGCAGGTCCTGTACAGTCGTGGACACATCGGTTGCGACACTTTTTTTTATAGGTTTCTAATATATATTTAATATACATAATATATGTACTTTATAGATAACTAATATTTTGCAAATGCGAACCACAATGTACTATCTTTAGTCTAGAGACAGTATAATGCCAATCGTGGTCCGCATTTGCAAAATATTAGTGCATTTTGAAACCTATAAAAAAGAAAGTGTCGCAACCGATGTGTCCATGACTGTACACATATTTAATTGACAAATTGAATATGTGTACAATTACACTTGCACGAGAGAGCATTAACATTCGACATGTTGTATACTTGCTTCCATATGTACCATTGTACACATTTAATTTGGCATTAACATTCGATGTGTTGTACTTGCATTCACATGTACACATACTTAATTGACGTCAATTAGATATGTGTACAATGGTACACATGGAAGCAAGTACAACACGTCGAATGTTAATGCTCTCTTCGGGCGAGCTGTGCAAAAATATCGGCGACAGTGATTTTATCTTCTCCGCAGGTATGTTCGATAAGGAGAAGAACGGCACTATAAACGCGACGGAATTTCAAGCTCTTTACAATTACATAAATTCCTGGCTCGGCGTATTTCGTGGCTTCGACCACGATAAGTCCGGCAGTATACAGGAGGACGAATTGAACGCGGCGCTGACACAAATGGGCTACCGGCTCAGTCCGGAGTTTATTAAATTCCTCATAAAAAAGAGCGATCTTCGTGGTCATCAGTCCATTACGGTCGACCAATTTATAGTACTGTGCGTTCAAATACAGAGGTTCACAGGTAATTAGATATGCTTACTTGTGGAAGGAATAGAATTTTATAATTTATTGCTTGTTGATCTATTCAGAGATTTAATGCTCTGTGCATGAAATAGTTGATGAAAACATTTAAGCACGTTTGTTTATTGAAATAATATTACGTGTTACAGAAGCGTTTAGAGCAAAGGACACGGATCAAACTGGATCGATCACCATTGGATTTGAAGATTTTCTGGGAGTAGCTCTTAATTGTAGTATATAAAATCTTAATGATAATACAGTTAAATTACAGTTTATACTGTATGCCGAGAAATAAGTATTGTTTAAAGTTACGCTGCAAGTTCTATTTTTCTATCTTAGGGGATAAAGTAAAACGATAGATTCACGCGTTAGGCGTCTTAGACTTAAGAAATCTATTTGTATTTGGGAATTTATATATAGCATTTTCTTTACCACTCAGGTTTTATTTATGCTTGATTATTTACAATATCTTTAAGTAAGATAAGATTATTGATAAGTATAAGAAGCACTAAAATTATGCTTCCAATTCCGCTGATGTATCAACCTCAAATGACAACAAAACGGATTTTACTTTTACATTCACGTTAACGAAGCGTTTAAATAAAAATGAATAAATCACATGACAATGCAAGTTACGTTACATTGAGCAACACATTCCATGATTTTTTTTATATATTTAATGTTTTATATATATATGATAAAAAGGAAATAACTGGTATATAATATCTTTACCATTAGTGACCCTTTTGACTGTCTAATGTCCATATGTTTATTGCTATCTTTATGTCCGGATGATTTTGTCTCGAAATTACATGAAGTAAATAACAATTTTCTTTACACAGATATTTTGAGTATAATGCAGATGTTTCAAATTTACGGGACTACAGCAGTGCATTACTCCGCATGAAACAGGCTCGGGAAAGAATTCGAGAATTTGAACGATTGCAAAGAGCACGACACCTTCTGGACGCCATTTCATTAGTAAACGATTTGCTTGCCGATGGTTCCGAGATAGAAATACTGTCGCTCGCTGGAATTATAGTGAGGAGATTAAATAAATTAGGCGTGACAAATGTAACGGCAGATAAGGAAAACGGTGTGTATTCGATATGCGTGAGTTTTCTTTTTTCGGAACATGTATATCTATTATATTCCGTTACAGAATATTGGTACAAAGATACGAGATTATCAGCTTTAAGACTTACACACAGCGGCATTTATCACTGTTGCACATTCTGCTCTAGTGGTGGAAGAAAGGAGATAAGTTGTGGCTGTAGAGGCACTATGCTTGGTAAGAATTAATTTCACGAGTCAAATAATAACTGCAGAATATGTATTGAATCATAAAAATAATTTCTGTAATATCAATTCTATATTATAAAACATTTATATGAAAGAGTAATTTTTAATAGATTTTCCTATTCAAAATTTAGAGATAAGCAAAAAAGAATTAATTAATTTTTGTAAAGGTGGATACAAAGGTTGTGGCCATGGACATATCGGACATCCAGGCTTTAATCATTGGTCTTGCTGTGGATCTATATTACGTAATGGACGTTGCTTAATTATACGAAAAACTAAGCATCATCTTATATTGTGAGTCTTAATAAATTAATAAATATATCTTTTGTGTATCTTTTGAATATAATTTGGATAATCCAATTTTTAAAAAAGAAGTGGAAACATTGCCTTGATCCTTAAAAGAGATCCTGTTCAATCTTTTGAAAATATTATTTCAATATATTTACGTGTTTAATTAATTGAACAGTTTAGATTTGTAATTTTTGAAATAATTTTCCACCTGCAGTTTTTTTAATTACAAGTTTTTATTCTCATTAAAAATTGTATAAGATTTTACTTCAGGCAAAAAAGATAATCTTCTATACAATATTTAAATCCTATCATGCAACAGCTTATATTGACAATAATTAAAATTAATAGTTTAAATTAAAATCATGCAGTAATGCTTGATAACAAAGTTGATGGTCAGAATCTCTGTTCGAGAAAATCGAAAGGAGAAGAATAGAGAAAATATGGAATTTATAACATTATGCTTTCTTACCTTAATTTTATCGCTGCTTAGACAAAATGTGTAACAATATATATATATTTTTTTTCACATATAAATTAAATTACATTAATTTATATACAAATATTTTATATATATATATATAATTTTTTAAATACATTTACATAAATGATATATACATAAAATCAGGTGCTATTCGTATTTCTATTATTTATTAATTACAAATGTTCGCAATATATTTAACTAAACTTAAGCATAACACGATTCAAATCGCACATTAATCGCAATATACGCTTGCCTCTTGCTTAATATTACATTAACAAAAAACATATTCAAATCGCACATTTTAATAAGTCTAGTCAGTCTGTATACCAGTCAAGCTTTGGAATGTATGTTTTATACCTCAAATGACAATTATATCTTTTTCGCTCATCTTATTCCCTTGTAAATCACATGACAATTATATCACAGCATTGTACTAACATTAATAAGAGTTTGCTCTTGCATAGTGCTGTACGCATCAAAATGCTGCATTGTTATTATACAATTAAAATTGAAACATTCTTAAATTCTGAAACATTGTGTAGCGAATTTTAAACTCACATTTGCACAATGTAATTTAAATTTCCACTTTGGTAATGTACATATATAGTCGGACATACCTGCAAACTTTGGGTGAATTGTATACTTCTTCGAAATCGTTAGTCGAAAATACATCGTGGTTGTATTGAATCAATAGATTATTTAGATACACTCTCGCTTTTTGCAACATCGTTGCCAGGTATGCAGCAGCTCTTTTTCCCACTCCGACAGCGTCTTCACTGGCGTGACCTCTGTGCTGCACACTCCACATGCATTCTTTGCACGTTACCTAAAAATTTTATATTGTTTATTTTATATTTATTTTATAT